GCCGAATACGGTAGATCAGTTCGCAAAAAAGTCTGCTATATCTAGAAGCAAAATCAATACTAATGAAGAAACTTACACATGTTAAGCTGAACTAGCCGCATTTAGAATTACTGAATTACTGATTATTTTTTCAAAAAGACGCCTATCTGATGTTGTAAGCAAAGATTTAAACGTCAATTTGTCGAAACAAACCCCACCATCAGAAAGGGTAATGTTTCCCCAATAAGATGGTGCTGTTAGTTTGCGTGGGAGTGCTGACAGTTTAGACCGTTTGACATTTGAATCTTCGTTTACAAAAGCCGATACATCCCTTTGAAAAAGTAATCGAGAGTAGTCAGAGACGAATTTACGTTTATGGGGGCCTGGGCCAAAAAAGTGTGAGGGCCCATTAAATCTAATCTAACACACTTAAAGGGTGTCCACGATGAAATTGCCACACACAAAATTGATTCGCAAAATTCGAGTTTTCATCCGATTGCCATCAAATTTTCAGGGATTGAGAAATAACTGTTGAACTTCATTTTACCATTTTACTCGTATTTTATTTAGAGTCCATACGCAAATGCCCGTACCTTGGCCTTAACCCCGGCCATAAGATTCTGCACAACCTGTGAATCAACCGTTTTTTGCATGTAAACCCATACTTTCTTCAGTTCCTCGACTGTCTTCACTACCTTAGGTCGTTTAAGAAGGTGCTGCTTCATAATCGCCCAGTACTTCTCGATGGGGCGGAGCTCCGGAGTGTTGGGAGGGTTGAACATTTTCGGCACGAAATTGACCTTATTGTCCGCATACCACTTCAGCACGTCCTTGGAGTAGTGGCATGAGGCCAAATCCGGCCAGAAGATTGTTGGGACGTTGTGGGCCTTCAGGAGAGGAAGCAGCCGCTTCTGGAGGCACTCTTTTATGTACACCTGTCCGTTCATCGTGTCCTGGGTCACGAAAGGTGCACTCCGCTTCCCGCACGTGCAGATGACTTGCCAAACCAGGAATTTCTTCGCAAATTTGGACATCTTCTGAGTGCGGACATGCTCCGGAACGCTGAACTTATCCTTGGCCGTGAAAAACAGGTTGCCGGGGATCTGTTTGAAGTCGGCCTTCACATATGTTTCGTCGTCCATGATGCAGCATTCAACTTTCGTCAGCATGTTGAGGTACAACTTCCTGGCACGGGTTTTGGCGGACTTGTTCTGCTTCTCGTCGCGATTAGGGGCCTTTTGTACCTTGAACGTTCGAAGCCCAGCCTTAGTTTTGGCCTTCTGGACAAAACTTCGGCTTAGGTGCAGCTTCTTAGCCACATCCCTAACGGAGGCGTTCGGATTTCGGTTGAAGGCCCCAACTACGCGGTTGTGATTTTTGGTGTTGTACGGAATACTTTTTCCTTCACTTCTGGGCTTCCGATCGGTGGTCAACCGTTCCTCGAACCGCTTAATCACTCGTGACACCGTGGAATTCGCGATTCCCAACGTTTTAGCGATGGAACGATGCGAGAGATCCTTGTTCTCGTGATGAATGCGCAAGATTTTATCACGCACGAGCTGTTCTTTCGACTCCATTTCCGCGAGTTTTGATCACAGGACTTTAAAACTTGCAGGATGTAAATAATGCACTATGAACTAAATCCACCCAAATTTTCATTAAATTCTACCCAACGGTTAAAAAGTTAGAGCAATTTCATAGTGTGGCAATTTCATAGTGTGGCAATTTCATCGTGGACACCCTTTAATTCAGATCACCGAAGTCGGTAGGATTTTACCGGGTTTTTGAACAGCAGAGCATAAAATTTTCAAATGATCGTTACACATGAGAAATCCAGAAAATTTATAAATTTTATTTTTTATCTATAACTGAACAAATTCTGTACAAGTTCGAAATAAATTTTCTAATAATTGGATTTTCAATTGATTTTTAAACTTTTACCAAACATTTCTGTAGTTCAAATTTTACCGAACGGCGGAGGCTTGGATTAGTGTGAATCTAATCTAACACCAACACAGCCAGTTCATGAAAGCATCCTGGAAAATGATAGATATACTTCCAGCACTTTTTCTTCTATTTGGTATATATTACACATCATAGATGCGCAAAATATATCAAAACGGCCAGGCCTACTGTGCAGCATTTGAGGGGCAAGATGATTAAGAAACATCGGGCCTGTTTAAATCCAAGATTTAAACACGATGCTTCAGAATCCAATAAATGGATCAAACGTGGACATCTCGTACCGTTCCGTTGTATTTTTATTTATAAATCATTTGTGGTTGGGAGCATCTAGTCTAAAAAGGTTAAGTGATGCTTCATTTTCTTCTAGCGGTTGGGACCTGAGCACTAACTCTTGTCCTAGCCCTATATGAAATATGGTTATAGCGCCATTACTCGCTTTCTGAAAAGAGAAGAAGGGAAGGGAAGGAGAGGAAAAGGACTTGGGAAAAGAAGATGTGGAATTTCTTTCCTTATTAGTATTGGTATCGTCAAGTTTTATAAAAACCATATAAATCATTTTGCCTTGGTCAGAGGTATTATTACGACATTTGAATAAGATTGTCTTATCATTTGTTCAGGCTATCATAACAAGCTATGACCGACGCGACGATTGTTAAAGCTCTGGTTAAACATGTTAAATCACGTTCCCGAAAGCAGTCAACAATGTATCCCAAACTGGATCAAGCGTGCGCCCTATTTTTCTAAACATTCCGAAGCCGAAGAGGAGGATGACGATGAAGTAGCGGCTGTTTCCGGTGAGTGCGATCCTCTATCGGACGAAACCGAAGTGAAAACCCGTCAAGAAGACGAAGCACAGATTCTCTTCGTCGACTTTCTCCTGGAGACTTCGGTCGACGGCCGCAGAAAAATCTCGGTGGTGTATAGCAAAAACGGGAGCGAATCACGAACCTCCGGAAAGCCCAGCAAAAGCACCAAAAGCGCGGATGGATGTCCCCCGTCAGCAGAACGGCGCCGTGGTAATTCAGAGCTCAGTTCACAGTTCCATCCAACGGCAGTTTGTCAAGCGATGGGACGGAATTGCTTTGATTTGGGGGAGATTGGGTTTTTCTACCACATCAACCAGATAAGCATTCGACCGTCGTAAGTTTAAGGTTGCAACAGGTTCCTTTCACGTTCACGGTTGGTAAGGGTCGAACGAAGGTTCTTAAACTGAGATAATTTAAATGTCTCCGATTTCCGCTTTTATTGTTGTTTTGTTTGACAGCAGCTTTTCGGCTTCGCATGATGGTGCACCTTCAAATATTGCTGTGATGCGAAAAGTGAGAAAGCAAATGACAGCGATCTTGCACACTGAGAAATGTGAGTTACTCGAGGTGCCCCAAAAACAACTCTGAAATTGCTCATGATTAGGAGCTGTCTTACCCCTTGTACGCAACCTGTTTTTAATAAGCTTCATCTTCGAAAATGATCTCTCACCACTTGCATTTGTAATCATCAGACTCGGCGCCGGTGGTGTAGTGGTAAGCATGAATACCTCTCACCCCAGCAGGCCTGGGTTCAATCCCTGTTCATCTCTGATCACAAGGGAAGTAAAGCCGTTGGTCCCCGGTTCATGAGTTGATGGGTCGATAGGCAGGGTCCAGGTGTGGGAGCTGCCTTTCAGGCGTCGGTAGCAATGGTGCTTAGCATGGAAAATAAGATCGACGGAAAAGAAATCAGGGTTAGATTTAATTATCGTCACGATCACAGTACTTCGACCACATTGATCTAAAACAAAAGTTATGCTCGATTGGACCCGCAAGTGACAGGTCGAATTGGCTCCCGTCATTGTCTCCGCCAGACTATGAATATAGTGACTATACCTTAAACCTGTATTCGCCTTGACACCAGTCCCGAAGTGACGTTTCTTCACACACATTTTGACAGTTCTTTATGGGGTTTTGCGTTGGAGTAAAAGAATAAGAAAAAGTCCGCCATATTTCACACATAGACTGACAGTTACATATGAGATTTCTCTATAGGAGTAAAGAGTTACAGAGCTCTCGTCAACGCCAATAACGACGAACTTATTGAAGGATTTTGCTTTCATGGTCAAGATTGTGGGCAGTTCAAAACTGGGGTGTCCAACTGCAATACTTTTATTCAATATGGGCATCATCTGATTAAAGACGGCATCAATAAATTAAAAAAATAATTATATTTCAAAACTGGTCCAATTTTTTACGCCGATCATACACGGAAAACAATCCTCCAAATTATCGTCCATTTTTAATCCATCCTCCAACGGGCAGATTGATGGCAACCGAATGAAATTAAAACAACCATTTATGTTATGCCTTAAACAACCAGTTCATAAACAATGTTGATAAAAAAAAAAACGAAAACGCAAACATGCACACAAAAACATCCACCAATTTTGATGAACATTTAACACATGTTTCGCTTTCTGGAAGACAACATTTATGGCTCACTTTTTTCCCTCCTTTTCTCGCTTCCCAATCCAAGTAACCTATGTTTTTAATTTTTTCTTTGTTTTTCCTTTCCTCGCCTGCTATGTGGGCCCACTGAGTGAGCAGATTCCCCTGGATCAATGCGGGATTTAGACTGAGCTACTATTTCATGATGTCATCATACGGCTTCCACCAGTCAGTTAGTCAGTCAGTCTTCAGCCCCAGCCAGTCAGTGGCAGGGAGGAAGAATGTTCCCACCAAAATACCATCATGCTTGTGGGGAAAATGACGACGTGTTGACCTTACGTCATCGCCATTTTGACTGGTTGTTGTTGACGTGTGTATTTTGTTGTATCCGCATCCGATGCAACATGCTTTATATTACACGAGATGGATTACCAAACGATCCCACGTGCTGAAACTAGATGATCGGTAGTGCCATTTCGGGTAACGAACCCATTCATGTTTTATTCAAAGCGGGTAATTTGAAAATGACCGGAATAACCGGAATAGCAATGAGATAATGGGAAAATCCAATCACAAAACAGAACCTACCTTTTCTTGCTGCATTTCACTAATCCTTCGCCTGTTTCGTCTTATCTTCAGGTACATCGACTTCCTGTATCGGGTCCTGTCGAACAATGAGCTGCCGCTGTTGGAAGAGACCCAGAAGAATCTGGCCAACTCGGGCGCCACCGGAACGGGACCGCTGCAGTTCAACGGCAGTGGTATCCTGGCGCACGAAAAGCTCAGCTACCTGTTCAGCGTTTGGCGCATGGAGGGCGACTGGAGCAACGGGAGCAGTTCCGGAAGTAGCAGCGGTAAGGAAGAGGGCGGCCTACTTTAGAAAGGCAACTGAAAACTATGAACAAAAATACGAGGAAAGTATTATTTAGTGCTAAGTCTTATTGTTCCTACAATGAAAAATAAAAATATGACATGCAACGAGCAGACACAACTGTATATTTGTGAAAGGAAGCAGCTTCGTCCAAAGAGAAAAGAGTTTGTGAAGATGAAAATAATTCCAAAAAATCAAAACACTAGTGTGTAAGCGAATCTAGAAGTGTAAGAGCTAAAAGCCAACAAACTGTATTAAATGTTGTTACAAAGTGCCAGACAATTTGGGAAACAGGATGAATCGTCCGTGCTTGACCAAGTCAAGCGTGGATTTTGGTGGATTCTGATGTGGAAGAGGATACAACCAAATCAAATGTGGTACGGTATAATCGCTTTAAAGGCGACTTTAAAGGCTGATTTATGCTCGCTCCATTCATTAAGCATTTCCATTTTATGTATGTTTTACGTTCTTCTCTATTTTTTTTCCTCCTATCTGTAATATTCTGTTGACGGTCAAGCTTAAAAGTTAAGGTGTAATCATGTGACTGACGGAACCGTTTGTGCCATAGAAATCCAAAGAACGCTACAAAGATACAATAAACATTTGAAAGTTCACTGCTGGAGTTTTTCTAGGATCCGAAATTTCCCGGAACGTGTACAGGTGAGAAATGTTCCTTGAACAAAAATTTGTGTCGTGCCATTAGGTCAAAACCTTACGACCGAATCCTGATGAATGCTGCACTCAAAATAATCGACACGTTATTTTTACGTGAAAAATCACGTGGAGTCTCTCTTTTCACTTACAGCGCATCTCAAAATTGAGCGTACAGATGTCATTAATTTCGAAAAACAGCTGTAAAAGCCCAATTTAAAGAGGTTTCTTGGCTGCAGAATCATTATACACTTATTAATAATTGGTACAGTATTGGGCTTATTTGGTTGCGTTTATTAAAAGTAAGAGCTATTTTGAGAAAAAAAACGCTTTTTCTTGAAATACCTTAATATCTTGAAATGCAATGAACTAAACTTTTTGAAATTTTGCTTATTTTTAGTCATAATAAAGATCATTATTATTCCACTTACGGGTGTTCAATAAAAAAATGAATTTTTTTTTCAGTCAAATAGCTAGTAAAAAAAAAAATTTCAACGAATTCAGTATTTTTTTATTAAAAACATAATATTTATTCTTCAAAAGAAAAAACGTCAATGAATATTGGAGAAGGACTACGCTGAAATCATTCTCATTTTATATTGAACGCCCGTTAATTTTTCTAAAATTCCACTAGGTAAAAAGTTGAAAATCGAGTGTTTTACTATAATAATTCTAACTTCACACAGGTTCTTCCAATTAAATCCAAAACTATACCAAAAAATCAATAAATATCTGTTTAACCACCAGCCAAGATTTAAAAAATATATCTATTAACAATGTTTCAAAAAAAAATCCATTAGGGTGTACGCTCAATTTTCCGATAAACTGTATATGTCAAATTTACGTGACGCAAGTAGAGTCTACGTGATCCCTAATAAAAATGTTATGGTTAATTAGCTTAACGACGTGTCAGGGCTATTGTTCGTTTATGGTATTTTTTTATTAGGGATACCACTTATGTTTCAACGGGAAATCCCTTTAAAGTCACTAGGTTTTTTTTTAACGAAACGTACATACGTGATTTACCCATAAACAATTTCTATGTGCATTTCATGCAAACCCTAAGTGATTTTCACTTATGAATAAATGAGTGCCACACTCATAATGGTACACAATATGGTGGCAGTGCAATGTGCATGTTTACATACCAGTGAAAATCTAGATAATTCTGTTGCTTATTTTCGTGTTGTAAGTATATAATGGTAGAATATTTTATGGTAAGCTGTTTCTTTGTTTTAGTCTGACGTCAATGAGTACCATGGATTGGAATGCAAGTTAAACGCCCCTGTTTCCCATATCCTTTGTGAGTTTCCACTAGGTCGATTTGGAAATCGCCCAGCGTTGGTTCCTGTAGGAGCACGTCTTACCTCTTGCAGCGTCGATGATTAACGATGATGTGTCGGCCAACGGTTGTCCAGTCCGTCAAGTCCCGACCTTCGTGTCTGCGTTATGTCGACTTGTCTCAACATGAGCTGACTTTAGCTATGTGTTTCAGAGCACGAATGTTCAGCACACTATGTACTTTTATTGTGCACCACACATCTTCCCTCTTCTCGAAATTAAAAAATGTTATAACTTTATCCAACTATATCATCATCAACGAAGATGGAGCAGACGAGAATAAAAACCAAAATACTAAACAATAAACCAAGTAAAGTGTTCAAAACAAAACAAAAACGTGAAAAGCATGGAAATTGACGAACAGGAACGAACTGTTCCTGGGAGAATTCTGCGTGAAAGTTGATTGACCTCTTGACTAGGTCTAGTGTTGTTTCTCTCTCGTCAGCTGTTATTTACCATTCGGTGGGAAAAATAGAGACTCAGCGTATTCTTCAGTGCAGCAAATCATTTTTAGTTTTACGTATGTAAATATATAAAGAGAAACCTGTGGCTTACATAAATCTGTTGATATATAGTTAAGTTCAAATTTTATCATGTTTAATAACACTAATTATTTGTTTTAGGAGTTTGCGGAATGCTGTCAACTGCTTGAACAAAATCATCCAAATACGCTGGTGCTTTTCTTACTCGAACTTTTCGTGATGACGTTTCGGGCTGGTTTGAATGCTTCTCTTGAGGATTTTCGACCGGTTCTGGTGCTTCTAAATTCCGCCATTTGGAAACTTTTTTGGTCTGTGAGATGTGGCGCTTCACTACGTGTCCATTTTCGTCGTTGAGCGTAAGGCTGCCGTTGTGCTCCTCGATAACGACGTACTTTTGTGATGAAAAGCGTGATTCGCCCTTCCCGCGTGTGTGACGTTCGATTATAACTGTGTCACCGGACTTCACTCGACATTGCCGTGCACTCCGCCGTTTGTCCTCGCGTTTTTTCCCAGCCATCTTAGCCTCTTTATCCCTTTCGTTGAAAAGTTCGTCGTCGATATTAACTTTTTCAAAGACAAACAGCGGGAGTCCTCGCTTAATTTTCCTACCTGACATGACCTCCTCCGGGGCTAGCTTTGTCACACTGTGAGTAGCAGCATTGTGAGCATGGATTGCTTCACGTAGCTCTATCACGTAATTTGTTTTGTTTATCGAAGCACTTACCATAGCCTTGTTGATAAGCTTCATGTAGCTTTCCCCATTCCGTTCTGTTGTGGAAACAAGGGGGTCGAGAAAATGGGAGTGATACTGCGTTCTGCACAATACCGTTTGTACTCCTCACCATTGAAAGGGGGGCCGTTATCCGTTTTTATGAATTTCGGTAGGCCTTCCCGTTCGAAGACATCCTCCAAGACCTTCCTTGTTTGCTCGAAACTCGTTGACTTCACAGGACGGGCGATGAGGAACCTAGACCTATAGTCAACGATTACGAGGATGGAAATTCCACTAAATTTGATGTACGGCCCGTTGAAGTCCAACGCAATTGTTTCCCATACAGCCTTTGGAGCAAAGATGCGTTGCATTGGGGTGGGTTTTTCAGGTATTGACTGCACAAGTAGCGCAAGATTCCACCCATTTCTCTGCGTCCTTTGGCATTCCAGGCCACCAAACACGTTGCCTCAGAATGCTTTTAAGCTTAGCTGCTGAAGGGTGTCCAATGTGGGCTACTTCTAATGTTCTTTTGCGTAATGCCTCCGGTATCACCACGCATCCGGTTTTCACCAGCATGCCATCCCTAGTGCTTAAATCATTTTCAAGGACCTGGTATTTCCGCAAATTTCGTGGCCATTCCCGTGTATTTAGTGCATTCATGACGTCTTGAAGGCATTGGTCTTGTAAAGTAGCTGTTTTAATTTCGCTGTCCGTCACAAATAAGGCCGCATTAGCTTCCAGTGAAGCAATCTCCCAAGGGCTTGAATCGTCGTCGAAGGACTTGTCGTTTCCGTTATATAAGCGTGAGGGAGAGTCAGCTATGTTATCAGCCCCTCGTACGTATTCTACGTTGTAGCTGTAAGGGCTCAATCTCAATGCCCAACCATCAGCTCGTGTTAGTGCCCTCTTGGATTCCTCGCGTGATCGGTTTAGTATAAATGCTACTCCTTGTGCATCCGTACGTAAAGTGAATTGTCTCCCAAGCAAAAATTAGGAGAAATGCTCCACCGCCCAAACCGCCCCGAGGGCTTCGCGTTGATTTTGTGCGTATCTCTTTTCAGTTGCGGTCAGCGATTTGGAAGCAAAGCTGATAAATCTTGACGACCCATGCATGTCTTCCTGTACTAAGACCGCCCCCAACGCAATCGGTGAGGCATCGGTGTACAAAATCGTTTTATCTTCTTCGGAAAAGAATCCTAATGACACGCAGCACTCGGCAATTCGTTCTTTTACTGTCTTGAAGGCATGACTTTGACGAGGGCCCCACGACCACGATTTTGCAGTGATGACCGCCCACAACGGGCTAGTGATGTCTGCAAAGTTTTGTACATGTGGACTGATGTACGACGCCAACCCTAGGAAACTTCGCAGTTCCGATACGGTCGTAGGTTCACGGAAGTTTCGAATGCTCCTTATCTTTCCCTCGTCGACATGGAATCCATCCTTGTCGAGCTCTTGACCCAGGAATTTAATCCTAGTTTTATCAAATTCACACTTTGCGGTATTTAACGTTAGATTGTTTGCTTTTAGGACTTGCAAGACTTGGTTAACGGTTTTTCGTAACTCTTCTAGGGTCTTTGCGAATATTAGAACGTCGTCTATGTATACGATGACGTTCTTTACATCTTTGAGTATTCTCGTCATTTCCCGCTGAAAAATTTCAGGGGCACAATTAACCCCGAACATCAGCCTGGTGAACCGGAACATACCGCTCTCGGAAAGAAAAGTGGTGAGGTCACGTGATTCGTTATGCAGTTCGAGGTGGTAGAACGCGTTGCTCAGATCGAGTTTAGCGAAGTATGTAGACCCGTGGAGCTTTACCTTCATTTCTTCTATTAGAGGAAGGCGGAAATACTCCCGGTTGATTGCTTTGTTTGGTGCCCTCATATTAACCACCAAGCGGAAGTCATCTTTACCCTTGGCGACTGCTGACATCCCACTTATCCAGTTTGGAGCTGTAATCACTTTCTCGATTATACCACGGGACTCCATTTCCTCTAATCTGCGTCTCGCTGCGTCCCGAAATGCTGCAGGGACATTATAGTACGCGTTCTTGACAGTGGGCACGGTTGTATCCACGCTGAATTTCACCTTCACTCCTGGCATTTTTGGAAATTTCGTTGGGTCGTTCGGTGCATCCAGGTTATTCAAATTCGCTCTGACATACAGCAAGCCCATGTCGTTTGCCGTAGCCCGACCGAGGAGTGATCTAAGCCCTTTTCGAACGACGTGAAAAGTTGCGGTTGTGGCTGGTAAATCGGATCCAGGCGTGGTAATTTCTGCCTCAAACATGCACTCTACAACCATAGGTGATTGAGAACCGTATGCATGTAAGCTTTTCTTGCTAGAGTTTTCAACTATTTTGAGCTTCACCTGACCAGACTCGAACTCTTGTTTTAAGTGCATCCAGTCTGACCCACCGATGACG